AGAGAGAGAGAGACAGACCGACAGACCGACAGACCGACAGACCGACAGACCGACAGACCGACAGACCGACAGACCGACAGACAGACAGACAGACAGACAGACAGACAGACAGACAGACAGACAGAGACAGATAGAAAGAGTCAGAGACACAGGCAGACAGACAGCTCAGACACATAGATAGATAGATAGATAGATAGATAGATAGGTAGATAGGTGGGGAGTTTATGTTCAGACTTTCGAGAGGCTGGAGCCGCCAGTGGTGGCTCAAACTCTCCGTCGGCGAAGTGAATGGCCAAGCCGTGCTGCTGCGCACGCGGATCTGTCGCACGGCTGCCATACGTAGGGGATAGGTGGCAATTTCGTGTTATGGCGCCTTCATCAACGAAGGGTAGGTGATTCGTGGATGACCTCTGTAGCGCCTATGCCTGGTGCGTGTCTCAATGTTGAAATAATAACCCTAAACCATAAACCCTAAACCCTAAACCCAGTTCTCGCTTATGGTGAAATCCTTAATATAGAGGCCTTAATAATTAGAATGGGGTTTTGGGGTATTTTTACTATAGTTATGATAAGGATGGGGTTTTGGGGTATAGTATACTGTAGTCATGATAAGGAACCCCCCCTAAACCCTATTCTGATTATTATGGCCGCTACCTTAACCCTGAACCCTGAACGCTAAACCCTATGAAACCCTGAGAGCAAGCTTGAGACTGCTAGTGCTGACCTGGATCCCGAGTGCCACAAAGCTGATGAGGAAGTCCCTGCTTAAGCTTTGGGCGCGTTCGGGGTGAGGGCCGGGAAATGGTTCTTTTGAGGGTTTTGAACCGAAAAAGAGGACCATGATAGGCGAGTCGTCATCGAGTTCATGCGGCAATTATCGCGGCTGGTGTTTCAAGCGGGTTTAGTGTTTAGGGTTTCCGTTTTTTCTGAAGCCCCAGGCATTGGGGTTCAGGAGCTTGAAGGTCGCCCCTTCGTGCGCCCCTTTGAAGGACTGTAACCCAAAGTACGGCAAGAAGGAAGGACCATTATTTAGCAGTTGAGCCTTACCACTTACTGCTTCTTGCTTTTGCTATCTTGAGTTGACATCCAGGAGGACTCAGTTTACTTTGCACCCTAAACCCTAAACCCTAAACCCTGCACCCTAAACCCTGAACCCTAAGCCCTGAACCCTAAACCCTGAACCCTAAACCCTGAACCCTAAACCTTAAACCCTAAACTTTACAGTCCAAGTCCAAGGTCCAAGAAGGCCTTCTTTGCTTCCTGGGACCGGCGAGTCTTCGAAGCGCAGCTATTCCGCAGAGCTTTTGTTTAAGGTTTAGGGTTTAGGGTATTTGCGCACCCCTCAAGGAGACCTTGAAGGAGCCCCTTGAAGGGGCCCTTCAGGCTTGTTGTCTTCACATCAGTTTTGTTGAAAGGGGCTGGCGTACAGGCTTGCGACTGAAGGCATGCTCCTCAAATCCAACAATGATCCTTAGCATGATTTAGGTCCGATTCAGATGTGTTTAGGGTTTAGGGTATATATGATC